ATCCATTGCCCTGTAATCGCACTGTAATCGTCATGTCTTTTGTGGATCAGTTGACTGCAAAGCCAATGAATGCCAGTATTGATAGCATGAAGAATGCCATCAATAATAGTCCAACAGTTAATGCCTTCTGCGGTCAAACGCAATGTAAGTCTTGTCATCTATTAATCTGGATTTGAATTGAATATCAATTGATTGTTTACTTCTGTGTTTCTGTAGTAAATGGAAATCCGATGAACTCATTGGCAGAACAGGCGAACAAACTGTTGGATTTCAGTCAAAAATTGGACATTAATTTATTAGACAGTGTTGTCAACTGTATGTATGGCGGAGAAGGGGCTCAACAACGGGTCGCTCAGGAGATACTGACCACTCTTAAAGAACATCCGGACGCGTGGACTCGGGTGGACACGATTCTCGAGTTCTCCGGCAATCAGGAGACCAAATACTATGCGCTCCAAATCCTCGAGAATCTGATTAAAACTCGATGGAAAGTATTGCCCGAAAATCAATGCGAAGGCATCAAGAAATTCATCGTCGGTCTCATCATTAAGACCTCATCCGATCCGTCGACTCTCGACAGAGAAAGAGTTTATTTAAACAAATTAAATATGATTTTAGTTCAGGTATTTGTTTATTGTTTTCGTTGTTTTTTGTATTCAAACTAATGTTGCATTCTTTGCGCAGATATTGAAGAGAGAATGGCCTAAAAAGTGGCCCAACTTTATCGATGACATCTGCGGCGCGTCCAAAACTAATGAAAGTCTTTGTCAGAATAATATGATTATTTTGAAACTATTGAGGTATGCGTTCACTCAAAACAATAGTGTATTGAATACCCATTTAATGCTTGTTTTGTGTCTTATTGTACGGATAGTGAGGAAGTGTTTGACTTCTCGTCGGGTCAGATGACTCAGGCAAAGGCCAAACATCTAAAGGACACGATGTGTCAGCAGTTCCGGGAAGTGTTCACATTATGTCAGTTCGTGATGGAGAACTCAAACAACGCCACTCTTATTCAGTGCACTTTAGAGACATTATTGCGATTTTTGAATTGGATTCCTTTGGGCTATATCTTCGAAACGGGTCTAATAAATGCAC